GCAGGGTGGTGGGAGCCCAGGGCAGAGGCCCTGAGGCTGGACATCTGGTGGGGCTCCCCCCGTGGAGCCCTTTGCTCTGGTGTGGGCCGCCACAGGGGGCGTTAAGGGGCGCTCTCTGAGGGTACCTGGGGAGGCGATGAGCACCCATTGGCGGTGGGCCAGAGGGGAGTTTTCCACTGGAAAGCGTGGCTCCTGGGCCTGTGTCGCCTCAGGGGCTACTCTCCACCCACTGCTTTGGTTTTCCAAGGGGATGTTGGTCCTGCAGTCGCCTCTGACAACCAGTCAGTCCTTGGGCAAGTCATCCTACCCGAGACCCCACGTCTCACCGTGAAGTGGGGGTGACAGTCACTAGCACCTACGGGTGGTGGCGAGGTTGGGGACTGGCGCCAGCCTCCAGCAGGCGGGGAGGCGTTTGGTGAATCAGATCCCTGCAGTTTCCCTATTTCCTGATGAGTAAACAGGTCGGGCTGAGGACCCTCTAGCTTCTGTTTCCTGAGCCACAGAGAGCATAAGGCCAGCCCCTCACCCCTGCCCCCTTCCCGCCCCGCCTCTGGCACGAACATGAGCGTGCAGGCTTCCTGTCCCTCCATCCGGCAGACATGCCTGGTGTGCCGGCGGCCTGGCTTGGCTGGACATAGGAGGGGCTCTGAGCTCGCATGTGCAAGCGTGGGTATGTGTGCACTGGGTGGCGTGTAGAGCTGGGTCGGAGCACATTCCTGTGTGGGAGGAAGGGGGAGTCTTCAGCCTGGGATCTCACTGAGTGGAGAGGCCTGAGGGTTCCTATCTCCATGGCAAAGATAAGTTAGGAAAGGGCACAGAGCAACAGACACAGAGACTGGGAGAGAGACAGGAAGACAGGAGATTCAAGGCAGGGCAGCCTGGGCCCCAAGCTAAGGCACATGGCTCAGTGAGCGGGTCATGGCTGGAGTTCAGCTTCCGCCTCACACTTGAAGGCAGATTCCCTGGTGCAGTGACCATTCTGCACAACTGTACACGGCAGCCTTGGTGCAGGAGAGGAAGGAGAGACCGAGAAACCCTCACTGAGCCCTGGGACATGAGAGTTATTCTCCCACTTTACAGACAAGGAAGTGGAGGCTCACAGGGCTCAACTGCCGCCTGAGGTCATATCGCCGGTGACAGCTTGTGAGTACTGGAACCTTTAAACTCCAAAGAGGAGGGGGAGAGGGAGAGGGGACTCACATACACAGGGGAGAAAGAGAGAGAGAGAGAGAGAGAGAGAGAAAGAGAGAGAGAGAGGAAGGGGCCGGCAGAGCCACCCAAGGAGTTGGAGGTGGTTTTCGGGCTGAGGGCTGGGAAGCAGAATCTAGGCAACCTTGCTGGTCAGCGCCTTTGGCCTGAGGAGGTATCTGGTGGTCAGCCCATGGTTCTGGGGGTTAGGTCTGGGGGATCAGGGCAGGCCCCCCACCCCCAGTTCCTCTCTTCCTGTCAGCATCTAGGGCCCTATTCCTATTCCTGATCATGCTGGGGGTTCTTCAGAAAAACACACAGCTTTTCCGGGAATTAACACTCGAAGGGGATGACAGTGCCAGGGGACGCGGTGGGTGCAGGGCTGAGACAGCTGATGCTAACTGAGCTCATTATATATGGGCTCTCAGTGCATTATCTGCACTAACTCAGACTTCAGTCTGCCCAGCAACCCTACCAAGGGAAGAACTCTTCTCCTCCCCATGTTATAGACGGGGTGCATACCCGGGCGTGAGCCGGGTGGGAGGGGATGCAGAACACAGAGGGCGTCCTTTGCTGCGCCACTTCCCAGAGGAGAGAAGCTGGGATGGACGGTGCGGAAGGTCTTCTTGCTGGCCTACTCCATCAGCCCCGCGCCCGCCGTTTGCTCTCCATAGAAATGGATCCTCTGTCTGCTAGGTACTCTCCCAGAGGCCTCGCCCCACCCCCCTCCTCCTAGCAGGGGCTGTGGCACAAGGAGGGCAGCGGGCTCCCCACTGGAGAAAATCAGGCGGAGCTTGGAGAAGAGCAGGAGGGATGAGCGGGGCTGGGCTCGGTGTGGGCTTGGGGGTAGAGAGGGCAGGGAAGCTGGGGCCGCTCAGACAGGACTGGGGCCTGGGGGCCTGGCCTGGAGCCCAGCTGCTTTGCATCTCGAGGTGGAGGAGAGACGTGTCAGCTCATTCTTGACTGTAAACACATCCCGTTCCCACGCCTCTGGCTTGTCCTTGCTGCAGCCCCCGTCCCCTTCGCCCCCCAGGCTTCCCTGCTCTCCACCACGGAGGCTTTTAAAAAAGAGATACAAAGCCCCTGGGATTCCTGCCTGGGCTCCGAAAAGGCTGGAACCAGCTCTGGTGCTGCTGGCTGTGTGGCTTTGGGCTCTGGTGCTGCTGGCTGTGTGGCTTTGGGCAAGTGCCTGCCCTCCTTGCGCCTGTGTGTCCTTATCTGTAAAGTGAGTAACAATCCGACCGCGCTGGGCTGATAGATAAGCTTTAAGTAAGATGAGCCCTGTCACTCGCTCAGCACCCTGCCTTGTTCAACACTGTGACCCACGTGTGGGGTCACATTATCGTTCTTGTGAGGGAAGGGGTCTGGGTCCCTCAAACCAGAGACACAGTGGAGGACGGGGGGATTATGCGGGGGGAGGGGCCTTCGGCATGAGAAGGAGCAGTGGGGGGTCCTGGGGGCACATCTCAGTGAATGAATTGAGGGCCCCTGGGGTGGGATGGGGCGCCAGTAGTTGTCTGATTTGACCCCCTTGAGGGGCTCATGTAATCACACGGGCCCAGTGCTGCTGGGACTGGAGGGGCCGGGAGAGAATGGACCAGGGCCTCAGGCACCCTTGCCCCTCGGGAACAAAAAGGCTCAGAAGGGAACAAGCCTGGGAGGCCAGGCTGGGGCTCTGGGCCCCTGGTCAGGCCTGGGCACCCTCCTCAGGGGCTGAGGCAGGTTCGGCCAAACCCTTCTCCTCCCTTCCAGGCTCCCCATCCCATCTCCCCACTCCCTGCTGACTACCCACTGGTCTCCCAGACCACACCCTGGCTTCCAGCCCCACTACCAAGTAGCTGATACTTCCTCCGAACTCCCGTCCTACCATGAGGCCCTTTGCATGCAAGCCCAGCTATCCTCACGCTCCCTGCCCACCTCCAGGCCTCTGAGAGCCCCTGAAGAGCCATCTCCTCTAGGGATTGGTGGGAGGGGCTGATGGTGGGAGGAGGGCACGGTGGGAGGAGGACATGGTGGGAGGAGGGCATGAATGGAAGATGGACTTTTTGTGGGCCAGGAGCCCAATCTGCAAGGCCCCTCCTCCTGCCGCTATCCTTCCTGCTGCAGGTTTCCCCACCTCACTGGGGCCTCTCACTGGAGACAGATCCCAGCCAGGGGGAGCCTGGGGTCCTGGTGTGGCTGGAGTTGAGGCTTACCCAGGGAAGGTCCTGGATCCAGACAGATCGAGTTCCAGCCTGAGGACAAGGGTCCCATGCCAGGGCCACCGGGAGGGCTCAGCAAGAGTGGAATGTGGACAGGGTGATGTGTGGGGGGCTCAGGGGCCTGCCCCTGGCCCTGGCTGCTGAGCACTGGAGGGAGAAGTGGGAGGTCAGCTGGGAGCAGACAGGTCGAGCCCTGGAGGTAGGCACTGGGCCGGGAAGGTGGCTAGAGCAGGGCAGGGGCAGGGACAGAGGGAGTAGCAGCTTGGGGACGTTGGGGAAGGAGCCAGCTCTGTTTGGGAGGGCGGTGGTGCACTGGGACAGGCTATGGGATCTGAAGGACACTACTGGTCCCAGAGGACAGGCCGAGTCCCCTCACCCACTCAGACTGAAGCCACTGGAAGGAGGGATCCCCCACCTCCCACATGGAGGGCAGTGGGAAGATGGAGCCACCCCACTCCCTGCTGCCCTCCCCCAAATGCACAGTCTGTCTCATCTCCACTTCCTGTTTCCAGGCTCCATATCCTGAGCGCCAGGGTCCCCCAGGACACTCTCTGGCCTTGAGGCCGCGGTGCCTACCACACGACAAGACAGCACAGTGCTGGGCTCCCCTGATTTCCGGGTGCTGTAGGGGCGTGGTGAGTTACTTGTAGTGAGTTAGTGGCCCTGAGGCCTGGGGGGAGGAAGCACAAAAGCCCGAGGGGGAGATGTGAACCCAGGGAGCTGATGGGACAGTAGCCAGGGTGGGGGTCGGACTGCTGCTCTGTGGGACCAGAGGGCGAGGGTAAAGATTGTCAGTGGGCTCTAACCGGTTTGGCTCAGTGGATAGAGCGTCGGCCTGCGGACTGAAAGGTCCCAGGTTCGATTCCGGTCAAGGGCATGTACCTTGGTTGTGGGCACATCCCCAGTAGGAGGTGTGCAGGAGGCAGCTGATCGATGTTTCTAACTCTCTATCCCTCTCCCTTCCACTCTGTAAAAAGATCAATAAAATATATATATTTTTTAAAAAAGATTGTCAGTGGGAGGGAGGCCACCGGGAGGAGAGGTGCCGCCCTTGTGTGGGGTCTGTCCTTCCAGTGAGACAGAGGGAAGGAGGGCCGCCCTGACCGGAGCTGGGAGCAGCTCTGGGGCCCCTGGGAGTGTGTGGGTGGGGGGTATGGGGTGGGGCCAGGCATCGAACATTCCAGAGATACTCAGGGGTCCAAGGGGCCCGCGGCCGACCTTGCTGCTCCAAAATCAGAAGCAGATGTGGCGCCTCTGGGAGGTGAGAGCAGGAACCAGGGCAAGTTTTAGGAACATTAAACATGGAATCTGAAACCAGCAGCGGGGGCGGCCACTCTGGAGCTCAGCCTCCCAGAACAGACTTCATCTGAGTCCTGACCCGCTTCCCACCCACCGGGCGAGGCTAGGGGTGGAGGAGATGGAGAGGAGTCCATTTCCAGATGGCTGATGGGGGCTTTTGTTAAACCCGAGGCCAGGTTGGGGGCCCCCTCGGGTGGTTAAACCCGGGGCCAGGTTGGGGGCCCCCTCGGGTGACAGCTCTTGGAGTTGGGTGCAGTGATGCGCTGACTTGGTGTGTGTTTGTGTGCGGCCGGCCTGATGTGTGTTTGCCAATTTCCATGGTGTAAACCAGGGGTCCTCAAACTACGGCCCGCAGGCCACATGCAAATACAAATATTGTATTTGTTCCCGTTTGGTGTTTTACTTCAAAATAAGATATGTGCAGTGTGCATAGGAATTTGTTCATAGTTTTTTTTTTTTTAAACTATAGTCCGGCCCTCCAACGGTCTGGGGGACAGTGAACTGGGCCCCTGTTTAAAACGTTTGAGGACCCCTGGTGTAAATAATCCCCCGTGCCTGACTTCAAGCTACTTATATGACATCAGGAGCTGGGAGCTGAGCACCATGGGTCCTCCTGGGTCCATCTGAGCGGTGCCAACACGCCAGAGGCTGGGAGGAGCCGCCTTCAAGGTCAACTGGGCCCAGCCTACCTCCTTCCATCCCATAGCGCGGGAAGCCTGCCACGACGACGGTCAGGGCGGTTTGGCCTCTGCCTGCATGCATCCAGCGATGGGCGCTCACCACCGAGGCTGCTGATCCCATTCCTGAGCTGCGTTGACGGTTAGAAAGTTCTTCCTCCAACTGAGCCCAAGTCTGCCTCCCTCCTAACGTGCCCCCATGGGCTCTAGTTTCGAATCTTGGTGTAAATATCCAAGTGCCCCGGGTTGGGCTGGGTTGGGGCTGGAGATTCAGAAAGAAAAGGCACTGGTCCCTGCCCCTAGGCCATGATCAGGAAATAGGCACTGGAACAGTGGTGTGCGTGTGCGAGTGCGTGTGTGTGTGTGTGTGTGTGTGTGTGTGTGTGTCTCCTTCTGCCACACTCTTCTCCCATTCCTCCTTCTTCTAATGAATTTCTATCGAGGAGCAGAGCAGAGATGCAAGGGTGGCACTTGGGGCTAGACCAGCCGTGGGCAAACTACAGCCCACGGGCCGAATCCGCCCGTTTGAAATGAATAAAACTAAAAAAAAAAAGACCGTACCCTTTTATGGAATGATGTTTACTTTGAATTTATATTAGTTCACACAAACACTCCATCCATGCTTTTGTTCCGGTCCTCCGGTCCAGTTTAAGAACCCATTGTGGCCCTCGAGTCAGAAAGTTTGCCCACCCCTGGACTAGACCTTGAAAGGTGAGAACTCAAGGTGCAGAACGGAGGGAGGACGGCTACGCAGAGGAGGCAGTGTGAGCACGGGCACACCCCCAGTCAGGAATGAGACCCTGGAGCTGGGCCAGGGCGCAGGGGGCAGGGGAGGCAGAGGCAGCAGCCTGTTCCCTTCTGCCACCTGCTCAGGTCTCCGCAGAGGCTGGGTCCTCAGAGTCTAGGCTGTGGCTGCAGTGCCCCTCGCCGGCCACGTCATGTCGCAGGCCTCTGCAATGTCGCCACCTCTGCGCTCCCTCCTCCTGGCCCTGGGCCTGGGGCTGGCTGGAACCCTCAAACCCAATGACCCCAATACCTGCAGCTTCTGGGAAAGGTGAGAGGGGCCCCTGCTGTACCTCAAGGGCTCCAAGCCCCAGGCTCCCCATTCTCCCCACTAGAGCCCCTCTTCCCTGACCTCCCGCCCTCCCTCCAGCCTTCACTTCCTGCCTGTTTCTGCTCTGCTCTCTCCTCCCCTCCATGGCTGCCTCTGACTCTCTCCCCATCTCTGACCTAGTCTCAATCTCCATCCCAGCTCTGACCCTGTCTGTCCCTTCTTTATCCCAGTCCCTTGGTCTGGGTGGGAGTCTGGCTGCAGGACAGGGCGCAGAGTGGGAGCCATTTTCTGTGTGGGGGTGGGAGGCCTAGGGCAGGATTCGGCCAGAAATGCTGCAACCCACCAGTGGGCTCTAGCTCCATCTCCCTGCATGGGAAGAGGAGGAAGGAAACATTGCCAGCTCTGGTCCTATAGGGTGAGAAGGGGCTCTGATGGGGAAGAGGGGGGCCCCAGGAATATTCTAATTCCGGGAGGATCCCCTCAGATTGGAGGGCAGGATGAGGGTTCATTCTAGGTTTGGGGGAGCAAGCCCAAATGTTGGGGTGGTGACTCCTCACTGTGGCCAAACTTCACACCCCTGCTTCTCACCACCCCCACCCCCCCACCCCCCCGTGCTTGATAGTTTCTAACAGGAGAAAATGTATAAAACCAGAAGAGGCCTTCAGAGCTGCTCAAAAACAGCTAGGAAATTCCTAACCCCCACCCCGATGGGCTGCCCCTGCTCCCACACACCCTCATTCTTTTCTCTGGAGGAACCTTTAGAGTTTGGAGGAAGCATCTGGCCTCCGGGCCCTCAGGGGCTGGTGTGGTCTAGCTCTCCCAGCCCAGAGGGTTGGACAGGCCCCAGGCCTCCCACAGTGCTGCTCTGTATGGGGGGGGGGGGGCTCAGCAGGGAGACTGACGGCCCTTCCGGGCCTCCCCAGGGTTGTCTACAGGACTGTCTACCGCCAGGTGGTGAAGACGGACCACCGGAAGCGCCTGAAGTGCTGCCAGGGTTTCTACGAGAGCCGTGAGGCTTGCGTGCGTGAGTCCTGGGTGGGGCGTGGGATGGGAGGGGCCCAGCCCACCCTTTCTAGTCCTTCCCTGCATCCAGCAGGGTAGGGCCACTCCTCTGCCCTTTGGGTGTCCCCCTCCTCCCGCTCACCTGGCGTTGTCCCTAAGGACACAGCTGCTGCCACTAGCTGACCCCTTTCCCCTCCCTCCTCATGCCCCTCAGCAGTCTGTCCTGCCGCCTGTCTTCCTGTGCTCTCCCTCTGTCTCTGGTCTGCCTGTGTCTCTCACTGAGTGTGTGAGGGGGGTGGGGTGGGGGGGAGGGTCGTGTCTGCGTCTGTCACTGTCTCTTCCTGTCCCTGTCTCTCTGTCTCTGACTTGTTGCTGTTCAGTCTCTCCTGTCCCTGCCTCCCACCCCCCAACACCCTAAACCCCCAGACTGGGGCCTGCTTGCCACACCTCTGGCCATCACCAGCCCCTGCCAAGCCTGACCCACCTGGACCCCGGTCTCTCTGGACAGCATCCTGTCTAGTTGCTACCTGAGGACCCTCTCCCCATTTCCTCAAGGAAGGGGCCTCGAGAATTTCCCGGGGGGGCCTGGGAGCCCGGAATCCTTGTCCCTCAGCCTTTCTGCGTGTTGGAGGCAGACGTGCTGCTTAGAGAGCCCCGGGCCCTGGTGTGGGAGGGAGGTGGGGTCAGACTTCAGAGTGTGAAGGTGGTGCGGGCAGGCGTGCCAGCCTCTTCCCACTCCCCCGTCTCTGCCCCAGCGCTCTGTGTCCAGGAGTGTGTGCATGGCCGCTGTGTGGCCCCCAATCAGTGCCAGTGTGTGCCAGGCTGGCGAGGTGACGACTGCTCCAGTGGTGAGTGGCTGGTGACTGCAGGGCCTCGGGCACACCCTCATAGCCTGTGCCTGCGCCCCCGGGGCAGTTCCCACCAGAGCCCCTTTGGGGTGTGCTCTACGCCAGCGGTCGCCAACCTTTCAGACTTCATGGGTCACCGGTTGGCGACCGCTGCTCTACGCTGCCTTTTCCGGGGATGTGGTAGAGTTTGGGCCAAGCCAGACATGGCGTCTGTGGGGGGTGGGAGACAGAGACAGGGATTAACTGGAGGCTGGGGTGGGGGGTGAGACCCCTGGTAACCTCTCCCACCCTCCTCATCTCACAGACTGTTCTCCGGAAGTGTGGGGACCACAGTGTGACAAGCCCTGCAGCTGTGGCAACAGCAGCTCCTGTGACCCCAAGAGTGGGGCATGTTCCTGCCCCTCTGGTCTGCAGCCCCCCAACTGCCTTCAGCCCTGCTCCCCTGGCCGTTATGGCCCTGCCTGCCAGCTCTCCTGCAACTGCCACGGGGCACCCTGTGACCCCCAGACTGGAGCCTGCTTCTGCCCCCCAGAGAGAACGGGGCCGAGGTGCGTAGTGGGGGACAAGCACACTAGTGGGGTCACAGGCACAGGACCGCACTGGCACACATGGACATAGGCGGGAACTCCGACGGGTTCCAAATGTAGGGGTGGCGTCAAGGGGCCGAGATCCTAGTTCCTGCTCTGCCCTCACTGGTCGAGTGACCTTGAGCAAATCATTGACTTTGTGAGCTTGGTTCCTGTCTGTGCGGTGGCAACAGCGTTATCCACGTGGGAAGGTTCCTGTGCAGATAACACGAGAGAGCCTGTGTGTGGAAGCGTGTCCTAAAGTGGGGCTGAGACAGGGAGCCCCATGGCAAGGCCTGTCCGGGGAGAGCGGGGAGCCCCCGGAAGGAGAAGGTTCACTGGGTGGGAACCGCGACCGGCCGCAGGGAGGAGCTCCGGAGCTGAGGCCCCCACACAGGCAGGGGCTCCCCCAGAAGGAACAGCACGCTCCAAGGTGGAGGTGGACCGGTGTCTGGGGCCTCCTGGTGGTGCTGTGTCCCCGCCATTTCCAGACCTGGAAAGCTTTGCTTTCTGATGCCTGAGTCCCCTACAAGGGGGTGGGGGGGCGGGGAAGGGGGCATGCTCACGGAGCCCTGAAGTCAGGCCTTAGGGGCAAGGGGGAGGCGAGTACTGCTTGCTCACACTGACCCACACTGACCTCGCCTGCTCTGCCCGGCAGCTGTGAGGTGCCCTGTCTCCAGGACACTGTTGGCTTCCACTGCCCCAGCACCTCTCCTTGCCACAACGGGGGTGTCTTCGAGGCCTCCCGAGGCTCCTGCAGCTGCCCACCTGGCTGGATGGTATGAAGGGTGGGGCCTGTTGAGTCGGGGTGGGGGCCTGGGAACAATCCTGCAGGAGGGTCTGATAGGGCTCGAAGGAGGGTATACGTCAGCGGTTCTCAACTTGGGGGTCGCAACCCATTCACAGGGGTCGCCCAAGACCATCGGAAAACATATATAATTACATATTGTTTTTGTGATTAATCGCTATGCTTTCATTATGTTCAATTGGTGGCAATGAAATTGGGGGTCACCACAACATGAGGAACTGTGTTAAAGGGTCGCGGCGTTAGGAAGGTTGAGAACCGCTGGTCTACGTGACATGGGTGGCTTGTGGGCCCTGGAGGGGTTTGAGGGCTCCTGGTGCGGGAGTATTCAGGGTCCCGTAACCAGTGGGAGACCCGGTGCCAGGGAATCTGTCAACCTCTCGCTCCACAGGGCGCCATCTGCACCCTGCCCTGCGCCCAGGGCTTCCATGGACCCAACTGCTCCCAGGAATGTCGCTGTCACAACGGGGGCCTCTGCAACCCGCTGACCGGGCAGTGCAGCTGCGCTCCTGGCTACACGGGGGAGCGGTGAGTGGCTTTGTGAGGGCTGGGCGGTGGGGACAGGCAGGAGGGTGGGCGTGCCCAGGCTCACTCCGCTGGGCGCCCAGGTGCCGAGAGGAGTGCCCGGTGGGCCACTTCGGACAGGACTGTGT